TTTTACGAAATTAGTTGTTTTTTTTTACTTTTTTTATGTGGGGTAAGGATAAAAGACACACACACTGAATGTTATAAAACATTTATTATTATTAGTTTACAGATAAATTTCTATTAAAACACTGGTATGTCCCACGCTATCCTTTTGTTGATATCTTGTTTTATCTGCATTTTTCCAAAACGCATGTAGTCTCCATGCAGTAGCTCTGCTCACTCTCTTCTGTAGAACATAAATATTCTATATGCGCAAAGATTTTGGCGTCTTCCAGCAAATTTTTATGTATAGTCAAATACAATATTCTATCGTAGTACTCGTAAAAGTTTAAACGAGACAGTACTCGTATTCTTTTAAATACCAATTTGCTTATGGTAATTAATTCCTGTACCCAGTCTTTCGAAATATAGAGTATACCCTCGCCATTTTCAATCTTGACCAAGACTTCACCATCACATTGTAGACAGCTGAGTTTGAAGCAGGTTAAATACATAACTTTACAAGTCGGGTCTGCTGACAATATCAGTGGAAGCTGTTGTATTAATTCGGTGAAGTCTATCTCGTCGAACGAAATGCTTCTTTTCTCCGACAAAGCGTAGGGGAGAAAGCTCACTTTCACTGCTGGAGCGAAAATTCTTGCGGGGCTAAGACTTGAGGTAATTTCTAGTCCGAATTCCGACAGCGTAATTGCTGCCTCGTAAATGTATTTTTGTTCGCGGATTATTTCCGCATTGACCACAAATCTTCCCCACGAATCCAATGCTTGCGTTGGATAATTTTCGACTTCGGACATTTTTCTCACTCTGCACTTATCAAAAAATTGTATGAGTGGAAACTGAATAAAAATTTAAATTTCTTATAGCTTATATATGTATAACCCCCACCCGTTCCCCAGATCCAAAGCGAACGCCTCACATACTTGTTTCGACAGGAAAAAACCTGACGGAGTACCTCCATCCATCCCGCTTTTTTTTTTAGACAAGCTCTGACAAGAAAAAGTACGTATCAAATAATGCGCCATTTTAAAAGGGGACATATTATCAATAGTGAAATAATTTATAAACGATTTATATTAAGATATACCTTTATCCTCTTTGCAAATAATTTTCTACTCGCTCACAGGTAGGATCATGAAGATTCTTCAATATTTTGTTGCACCAGGTATTTAGCTTAGCCTAGAATTCTTTTGAAAAATAATTATTATTTTTAAAAAAGGCGCGCGCTCGATCAGTCGCCGTTTTAGCGATATTTCCTTGTTTCCCGTGTCGGAGTTTATCTCTTTTCTTTTGTACATATTCTTGTTTAATTAAATCTTGATTATCTTTTTATGCCAATTTTGACGATCATCTAATTTTTTGTAACTAAAATTAATTTAATAGAAACATTTAAGGCGAGATGATGCCCGGGAGCTGTTGTATTAGGTATGAAAAAGTCCATTTGGATGAAGGAGATGCTTCTTTTGTTCCGACAATGTACAAGAATAAACCTGTCTAACCATAGCAAAATGGGGCTCAAAACTGTGACACTAGGCGAGAGTATGCGTTATTTGGAAGTTAAATTTTAAAAATCCTTTGCAAAATATTCACGGGCAGGGTGTCAAGGCGTCAATTTTTATAAAAATCGGAGGTCAGTGTCGGAGAAATAAGGGTTCTTCCCTTTTCTCCTCGTCTGTTTTTAACTCCGTTTTGAGTAATTTGTAATAATTTGAGAAAAAAAAATCAGTACCCAAAAATGGACACACATTTGCAAGCAAAACAAAAAAAATAGGATACAAAAAAACTATAAAATATAGGCGCCAATGCAGGCAATAGTTTAAATAAGGGAAGTTACATTTTTAAACATAAATTCAGATTTTCGGTGGCAATATAACTCTATTTTTGTGTTTGTTAAGATTTATATACACAATATCAAACCAGCCTTTGGAAACGTCTGGTTAATGGCCACAGGCCATTAGCTTCTAAATAAACGCGAGATATGAAAACCGAAAAAGTTTGAATGGAATCTAACGTTTTCTTTTGTTTCTCAAAGTAGTAATTAAGCGGAAAAGTACTCGTAGTATATTGATTAATTGTAGAAATGTCACATTTTCTATATAACAACTTAAGTTAAATAAAATGCAAATTAAATTATTAAAAATTACCGCTTTGTTGTATTCGTTATTTACTATGCCCGAACCTACGACGACACTGGAGGGTAGCTTAAATTTGACCTGCTTGGTTTACCTGCCTTTCGTAGGAATGCGGGTTGTTTCACGTGTCAGTCGAAGTTTAAAGAAGCGTTTGTGTTAAGGGTTTGTTTCTGTTATCCACGTTTGTTGCTTAATGCAATATCGCCAACGAGTTTAAGTTTTGTGTTCATTGTGTATTTCATATACGGATAAATAAAACAAAAAAGACTGGAAAAAGATAGGTAAGAAGCTTTCGGAATTGCGACTTTAATGAGTAACCGGATTGTGGAAAGTAACAGATAGAGAGAATGAGTTACCTATATAGAAAAAGAGAGACAGAAAGGTAGATTTATTTAAACGTTTCTCAATCATCCACCCATCGGAGATAATAAATAACATTCGCTAGTTTTTTTTTGAATGTATTGAGTTAAGTTCGGAATAGAAATATATCAATAGTAACAATTTAAATATGGTAATTTTTGGGGATTGTCATACGTCCGCCAGCGTATTAAAAATATGGTTTTAGGGGTTAGAACTTTTTAAGTTTCAAGAAAAAAACACTCAAGTTGAAATTTTTGTATTCGGAAGCTCCTGTTGTTTATTAATTTATAGACACTGGAAAATATAATAATAAAACATCCTACAGTTGACGATACGTGTCCTCTTAAACTCGAAAAGAGCTAATTTATCTTAGAAGAGTACGTATTTTTGGTAAAATAGATATTTTTTATATTAAATATTTGACCGATCGATGTAATTCGTCAAGCAGAAACCGAGAAGAAAAGTGAGGCTTGTGCTGTTTGCTGACAATCCGACCCTGCTTCGTGTACAAATGCAATGACATTTCGGCAGGGCTATAGGCTACGAAACCTTTCAAACTCGAAAAGGACGAACTATTTTAAAGAAAAAAGGTACTTCATTTTTGGTAAAAGTAATAGATAATTTTTTTTACGCTAAATATTCCACAGATCGATGTAACTCGTCAAGCAGAACCCGAGAAGAAAAGTGACGGTGGGTGCTGTTTGCTGACAATCCGAACCTGCTTCGTGTACAATTGCATAGCGGGAAGACATGAAAGATTTCGAAACTGCGTGCGTGCGTGGAAGACTGCGTTGGGGCGAATTTTGAAAATCTCTGAAAGTTCAACGATTTTGGACAATTGGCAGACGATATAGACTACGAAAAATTCCGAACTCGAAAAGGACGAACAAATTTTAAAGAAAAAAGGTACTTCATTTTTGGCAAAAGTAATAGATAATTTTTTTTTACGCTAAATATTCCACAGATCGATGTAACTCGTCAAGCAGAACCCGAGAAGAAAAGTGACCGGGGGTGCTGTTTGCTTACAATCCGACCCTGCTTCGTGTACAAATGCAATGCCATTTCGGCAGGGCTATAGGCTACGAAACCTTTCGAACTCGAAAAGGCGCTACTAATTTTAAATAGGTACTTAATATTGGGGTAAAAGTAATAGATAAGATTGTTTTACATTAAATATTTGACAGATCGATGTAACTCGTCAAGCGGAATCCGAGAAGAAAAATGACGGATGTGCTGTTTGCTGATAGTCCACCCCTGCTTCGTGTACAAATGCATGGCGGGGAGACCTGAAAGTTTTCGAAACTGCGTGAGTGGAAGTCTGCGTTGGACAAATTTTGAAAATATCTGAAGGTTTAACGAATTTTGGAGAATTCGACCGAGCTACAGACTACGAAACCTTTCGAAACGAACACACGTGTCCTGTTGAACTTGAAAAAGACGAAATTATTTTTAAAAAGGTATATTGTTGCTAAATAATAGATTTTTTTTTAATTAAAATATTTGACAGATCATGGTAACTCGTGAAGCAACAACTCTGAATTGAATCGGCGAGTTGTGTATTTGCTGACAATCCGAGCCTGCTCCGTTTAGATTTGCATAACGAGGAATCAAAAAATCAAAAAAAGGTTAACGATTTGGATCATTTTGGAAGATACATACGCCGCGCTTTTAAAAGCGGCCAGACATGCCCTTGTCCACCTTGATAAAGGCGGAATTATTTTAGGAAAGCTATATTATTTGTAAAAAAAATATATACAATTTTTTAAGTAACATATTTGACAGACCATGGCAACTAGTAAAGCAGAATCTGAGAATTCAATCGGCGGCTGTATGTTGACTGACAAGAATATAATTGCTGTTAATCCGGCCCTGCTTCGTGTACAAATGCATAGCGGGGAGACATGAACATTTTTCGAAATCGCGGACCTATCCTCTTGGGATTCTACGTTGGACAAATTCAGAAAACGACCCCAGAAATATAATTGGTGAGAAAATAGTTTTTTTTTTGTGTGTTAACAGTTAACAATTTTTTATTTTTGAAATAAGGGGTTTCAGTATGTACTGGTATTAGTGAATCAATTTAATGGCCTCAGCATCTCTAAACCCCCATCTTGAGACGCGTTAACGATCCGGATCGAGTTACGTCGCGTAATTATGTCACTTTTTTTAATTAAAAAAAATAAGGAGATGCACCTACCATACTTTAGAAACCCCTACTCCCCCCTTTGGAGGTGATGAAATAAGTTTTGATATGATAAGTACAAGACTTGCCTCGTTTTTTTAAGGAGGTTCAAAGCGGTGCGAGGTGACCTTTCATATATGAGACAGACCAGTCATGGGGACACGAGATGTGGAAAGTTTAAGCGTAGTCGTCGCCACATTGCTGCCAACACGGCATATATAGGGAATCACGAACCATTCAGGTAAAATTTTGAAAACACATATTTATGGCAATATAGAACCTCTCTTTTTTTTATCAGGAATATTGAGACGTAGACCAGTATCTTTTTAAGTCGGCATGTGGGGTAAAGAAGATGCAGAAACTTCAGTCGGGTACCATCGGTAGCGTAGGCGATTGATATATTTCCACCACTACATATATTGGATTGGAATTTCCCATTTGATGCTTTGACTGACTAAATGAGAAAACTTGGAGATAAGCTCTTACGGAATTCTATGGAAATATGTTTAGTAACATATTAGTGCATTACTCTGTCTTCCAGTGAGTTTCACATAAACTTTGCACCTATTATAGAAATGCCACCTACTTTTTTTTGTGTTAATATTATTGAAAGTAGTAGCTGGTAGCTGTAGTCGTAAGCCCAGAGAGTCTCTGTTTTGAACATAATACACAAAATGGGGCGTTCAATAACTCTGATTGCTTAGACTGCATGGCTTTTAGAGTCGGCGTAAAGTATGGTCATATACCCGGATCAAATTCAGAACTAGAAAATTGTTGTGTCTCTGCATTAAAAATAATCGTAAAATTTATTGTAGGCACCTAGTAGAGTATCGAAAATTTCCATTTTTAGTGCCAAATTGGTTACTCCAGTAAGTTCCAACTGTTCTAATTTTTTTTTAAATAATTTATGATGTTAGTGAGTTTCATTTCAATTATTTGTTATTTAAATTTTCTGCGTATTAAACCTTAATTAACAATACGCTATTCGTTAACGCAGGTAGAATTAATGACGCTGACTAACCTGATTTTGTCCAGGGGGCGTAGTACGGTAGTTTGTACTGTGATGTTTGGCAGTGAGCTCTCATTTATAAAACTGGGGAATGTTTCGATATGTTCAAATCGTAAATCCGTATCATTAGAATATTCACACACATTGCGGAAAACGTATAACTTTATATTAGAGAAAAATAACTATTTTTAGAGGTTGGTTTTTCAAAAAGGTGGGAATTTAGTTAAAGAACAGATATAGACTAAAGAGAATAGTTACAATTAAAAAATCGATGTTTTCATGTCATAGCGAAAGATGGATTATTATTAAAAATAATACTTGCATTAATTGTTGTCACCATTTGTGAAAAATATGGAAAATATCCTCTAGGTTCGCATAACTTTTTTTTATTTTTTTTAAAGTGGCTAACAAAATACACAGACAGAAAAGTTCAGATCCTGTTCGTTAATGTAGCGCATAGAAAAAAAAATTAGAAAAGAGAACGTTTCGTGTATGGCATACGTAGTTAGTACGGAATATTAATCTGAAGGCTGCAAGACAGTGAAAGAGTGATGCGCTTAAGTGTGGTTCAGAGAGGTTGTTCAGTTTTGGTTATTTATTTTGTATACTGACACTAAATATTAATTCATTATGTTCAGTTTTGGTTATTTATTTTGTATATTGACACTAAATATTAATTCATTACCTGGGTTTTCTATATATTGATTTCTTTATGATTCGGGGTTAATCGAATACATTTATCAATTTTTATTTTAATTTAATTTTTTATATACTTTATGGTAAAAAACGCGTGTCATTTCACCGCGATAATATGAGCCCTCGGGTTTTGTTTGGCCGAATTACCGCGCATAGTTTTCGCGTGTTTGCGATTGGTAACCCCCACTACATTGCTGCAATGGACATGGTGTGGAGAAAGAAAATCCGAGAGGCCTCGGGGGTCTTACACTAGAGTGCACATAAGGTAGGCCGTTTATTTTATAATTCGAGGGTTTATCCGTAGTTTTGTTTTGTTTGTGATCAAATTTTAAATTAAGAATTTATTTCGATAAACTTGTATACTATTATTCCACACGCGGCTTCTAAAAGGAAGTCTAGGAAACATTGAGTCTCTTACATATGGTCTTCGAGCCCGGATTTTTAAAGAATCAGTAATTCAAAAATAAAATTATTTTGTCTTTTCTAAATTCATTTTCTAATACTAAATTGGTAAAAATAATTTTGATTTCATTCACTATAAAGGCGTTTAAATAAGACGACCTTGAATAAATTTGACGAAGTATCGGAAAACAGGTAAAGAATTTAAATCGTTTAGAGTTTTTTGCGGTCTTGATTTTGTGTACGATATTTTGATTGTTTTTTGTTATCAATTGTGGTTTTGGTGGATTTTACGAGGTTGTTCGCATATTTTAATATAATTGAATTTAATTTCTTCTTTCTTGCCATTTTTTTATGATATAGAAAATTTCTAAAAATATTTTTAAACCATGGCAGATTCAAAGTAAATAGAAGAAGCGTTTTTATACAAAGATTGAAAGAAATCTACGATTTAGCTACTGCTGCTACACAGAACCCAGCTAAAATTAATGATTTTAAAATACGATATTCGGCGTTAGAATCAACATATAATGAGTAACGGATGTAATGCTTGAGCAGCAGGAGCTAATTCGAGCGGAAGTTGATGATCAATACTTTTCAATTAAAAGCATTTATAGTGAACTTTGTATAAAATCTGAAATATCCATGATGGTACCACCTTCGCCACCAGGCCAGAGCCATAATTTGCCGCCTTACCTAAATTTTAATCTTCCCCGTTTAGATATACCTGTTTTCTCAGGCAATTTAAAACAGTAACCGGAGAACCGCTCAGTTTATTGAGAAATATTCCTATAACTGATGACAATTACGCAGTAGCCTACGATACTTTAATAAAAAGATACGACAATAAACGGCTTTTATCGACTCATTACTTCAATGAAATAATGAACATTTCCAAAATTTCAAATCCATCGAATGAAGCACTGCGTAATGTTGTTGATAAGTTTTGTGAAAATGTGGAGGCATTAAAATTATTGAACTTTCCTACTGCGGAATGGGATTTTTTGCTTTTTAATTTACTCTTAATGAAAATCGATTCTGATACCTTACAACGATTTGAAATGGAGCACGCAAAATTTGATATACCCACTTTTGCGCAGTTGAAATTATTTCTGAATAACAGGTGTAAGGTTTTAGATACGTTGACCTATACTCAGGAAGAAAATAAATCAAAAAATGCCGGAACCATTTATAATAGTAAGTCTTTTGCCAGTAACCGTCAACATAAGTCAGGTTCTAGGAATAATGGTGATCACTCCAAAGCATTTTTTACTAATACTCCTTCTAATAACGTTCCTACATTGAATTGTGGTATCTGTAGGACCCAGCATTCCATTATAAACTGCTCCGTCTTTTTAAGTAAGACTCCTCATGAGCGCTATTTACTAGTTAAACGCAACCGTTTGTGTGTGAATTGTTTGAGTTCGTTTCACAAATTTTCGAAATGCAGTTCTAATAAGACCTGTTCTTCTTGTACGAAACGCCATCATTCTTTACTACATTTCGAGTCGGCACATGGTAATGAACGTAGTCCACCTAATGACGATGTTTTGCCCAGTGCTAATGACTCTTCCGTAGATCAACCACATTGTGGCACCACTTCCATAAATTCTAATAGTGCATTTACGCTCCTTGCGACTGCAAAAGTGGATTTTCTGGACAGCCAAGGTTATTCCCACACAGTTAGAGTACTACTGGACAGTGGAAGCCAAGGCAATTTTATATCCGAAAGATGCTTTAAGAAATTAGGACTTTCCCGCTCTCGTTTGAACATTCCAATTAATGGGTTAGGTAATATGACATCTGTATCGTCGAATGGTGTTACTTGTTGTACGGTCCGCCCGGTGGGTAAGAACACACCTTCTTTTCCCATAGAATGTATCGTTTTACCGCAGATTTGCTCTTACATGCCTTCTGTATCTTTCAGTCGCGAGAACTGGTCACATTTGGAGAATTTAGTCGTTTCTGATGACACCTACAATACTCCTGGACCTATAGATGCTCTCATCGGGTGCGAGTTATTCCCTTTAATTTTGTTGCCTGAGAAGGTGTGCGGTAAAGAGTTGGAACCTGTCGCATTCAATACATTATTTGGCTGGGTAGTGATGGGTAAAATTGATCGTATAAAAAGCAAGTCCTCATATTCCTGTTGCACACTATTGGAAGAAAACCGGGATATTAATAAAACTCTTCAAATGTTTTGGGAAATGGAGGAAGTTCCAAGTAGCAAGTCTTCATTAACCCTTGACGATCCCGCTGAAATTTCTTTTAACGAGACTCATTCTCGAACTCCTGAAGGACGTTTTATCGTTACTCTACCGTTTTCCAGTGGTGAGCCATTATTTTCTGACTCACGCTCCATAGCCCTAAAAAGGTTTTATAGCTTAGAGCGCCGTCTTCTTAAGGATCCTCCATTATTTGAGATATATTCCAAATTTATGAAGGAATACTTAGAGCTGGATCATATGGAACCCGTGTCTGCTCCTGTCTCTGACGTTGCCCAGCGCCACTTCTACATCCCTCACCATGGGGTTACTAATTCGAATAGTACGACTACTGCATTGCGCGTAGTCTTTGACGCATCTTGCAGTCCGCGGGATCGATCGTTGAATGACACTTTGTTGATTGGTCCCAAACTACAAAATGAAATTGTAAGTATTCTGTTAAGTTTTCGAAGGTTTCCTGTAGCATTTACTGCCGATATCAAAATGATGTATCGACAAATACTTGTTAATGACAGCCACCAAGACTACCAACGTATTTTATGGAGATTCTCCCCTCGAGAACCTGTTCAAGATTTTCGCCTAAAAACCGTAACCTACGGATTAAATTCAGCTCCTTTCCTTGCTCTGAGATGTCTTTTACAATTAGCCACCGAGGGTAGAGATAGATTTCCTAGGGCCGCAGCAATTTTAGCGTCCCAAGTGTATGTTGATGATATATGTGTATCTTGTAAATCTTTAGAGGATGCTGTGGATATCAAACAACAACTTATTGCTCTATTGGATGAGGGTTGTTTTTTCCTTAGAAAATGGTCTAGCAATTGTGTTGACTTCTTAGCTACTATACCTTCAGATATTCTACAGAAACCTCTCGCGCTTGACACTAAATCCGATCCTTACTTGAAGGTTTTGGGTCTCAGATGGTCTCCAGAGAAGGATATCTTCTCATACGACATACAATTTCTCAACTCGACATGTACTAAGAGATCTATACTTTCTGAAATCTCCAGAATTTTTGATCCAATTGAATTACTTTGTCCCATAACTCTATTAGTTAAGCAGCTAATGCAATCTTTATGGGCGAGAGGTATCGACTGGGACAGTGAAGTGCCCGCAGATATTGCCCAAAGGTGGACCGACTACAAAAATGAATTGCCAAGTCTTTCAGCATTAGAAATACCCCGTTATTGTTTTATTTCAAAGTATGTTAGTTTAGAATTCCATGCTTTTGGGGATGCTTCAGAGCTAGGTTATGGAAGTTGTATCTATTTTCGCCTCGTGTCTCCAGATGGCCAAATTTCTACTTATCTCCTCTATGCTAAGAGTAAAGTATCTCCATTGAAGAGATTGAGTCTTCCTAAATTGGAATTAAGTGCTGCATTAATGGCTTCCAAATTGCTTAAATATGCCTTAAATGTCTACAACATTCCCGACGTACAAAATATTTATGCTTGGTCTGACTCGACTATAGTCCTAGGTTGGATAAGGTCACCGCCCTGTCGTTGGCGCACTTTCGTCTCAAACAGGGTGAGTCAGATTCAAGACAATGTAGCACCTGAACGTTGGTTTCACATCAAATCAGAAGACAATCCAGCTGACCTTGCGAGTCGCCCTGTCCTTCCGTCTGATTTAGTTGACTGTCCCTTATGGTGGGCGGGACCAGCTTGGTTGTCGCGTCCCTCCGAAGAGTGGCCCAAACACGAACTTGGTGAATTGGACGAACCACTACCAGAAGAAAGAGGGACCATTCTCACGGTAATAAAAGGCTATCATCCTGTTGGTGATATTTTGAATAGGTATTCATGCTTACAGAAAATACTTCGCCTTATTACTTATTGGCGTCGTTTTCTTGGCATTCGTTTTAAAGTGGTTTCAGTGGTTAAAAAGGGTCCTTTCACGGAGCACGAGTTATTTCAGAGTCTTCTCCGCATTGTGAAGCAAGTACAAGCAGAAGCCTTTTATGAAGACATTTCCAATCTTTCGAACAAGAGTGTTTGTTCCAAGCCGTTAAGAAAGCTTGCTCCTTTCATCGATGAACAAGGACTTCTCAGGGTAGGCGGACGCCTTACTCACTCTCAACTTGATTACGATCAGAAGCATCCCGTTTTGCTTCCCAACAAACATAGGTTGACTGATCTTATAATAGATAATTTTCATAAAAGATACCTTCACTGTGGACAGCAGGCCTTGCGCTATTTTATATCTCAACGGTTTTGGATTTTGGGTGCTAAAGGAGCTATAAAACGTATTGTCCATAAGTGTTTCCGCTGCTTTCGAACACATCCTCAGGTAATAGAACCAAAAATGGGCGATTTGCCTAGTTTCCGCATTACCCAAGCCAAGCCCTTTCAATGTACTTCTTTGGATTTCGGTGGCCCTTTTCAGATACTGATGGCAAGACATAGAGGTTGCCGTACTCAAAAGGCTTATCTATCTCTCTTTGTGTGTTGTTCTACAAAGTGCCTGCATTTGGAACTGGTATCAGACCTATCCACTTCTGCCTTTCTTGCGTCATTGCGTCGCTTCATCAGTCGACGTGGTAGATGCTCCAAACTGCACAGTGATAACGGTACCAACTACGTTGGTGCAGCTCGATACTTAGCAGATTGCATGGCTAAAGCAGCCGCTGAGGAATTAATCGAGTGGAAATTTTTCCCGCCTTCAGCGCCTCACTTTGGTGGGTTACACGAAGCTGGCATTAAAAGCGTCAAAACCCACATTACTAAAATCATAGGGGAACAATTACTTACCTATGAAGAATTTTACACAGTTCTCACTCAAGTTGAGGCCGTACTCAACTCTAGACCACTTTGCGCTATGAGTAGTGATCCCAACGATCTATCCAGTTTAACACCAGGTCATTTTCTCTCCTTAGCTCCTTTATCAGCTATTCCCGATCACGACCTCACTTGTGTTCCTATGAATAGACTTGATAGGTGGCAGTTACTGACCAAAATGCATCAATCATTTTGGAAAAGATGGCATATGGAATATCTTCATTCTTTACAACAGAGAGCTAAATGGGATAAAGATACCACTCTTATCACGCCGGGTACTCTAGTTGTACTGAAGGAGGATAATTTACCTCCCCTCCAGTGGAGACTGGGACGGATTGATTCCATTCACCCTGGTGCTGACGGTGTTCCACGAGTAGTCACTGTCAGAACCCAAAACGGTTTAATCAAACGACCGGTTATTAAGGTATGTCCTCTGCCGGCCAATTAATCACAATTGATAAACTTTAATATTAGCATATTTTGTTTATTTTCTTTTTTTTTTGTTGTTTTTTGAAATACCGTTGTATTTGGTGGGCGGTATGTTCAGTTTTGGTTATTTATTTTGTATATTGACACTAAATATTAATTCATTATGTTCAGTTTTGGTTATTTATTTTGTATATTGACACTAAATATTAATTCATTACCTGGGTTTTCTATATATTGATTTCTTTATGATTCGGGGTTAATCGAATACATTTATCAATTTTTATTTTAATTTAATTTTTTATATACTTTATGGTAAAAAACGCGTGTCATTTCACCGCGATAATATGAGCCCTCGGGTTTTGTTTGGCCGAATTACCGCGCATAGTTTTCGCGTGTTTGCGATTGGTAACCCCTACTACATTGCTGCAATGGACATGGTGTGGAGAAAGAAAATCCGAGAGGCCTCGGGGGTCTTACACTAGAGTGCACATAAGGTAGGCCGTTTATTTTATAATTCGAGGGTTTATCCGTAGTTTTGTTTTGTTTGTGATCAAATTTTAAATTAAGAATTTATTTCGATGAACTTGTATACTATTATTCCACACGCGGCTTCTAAAAGGAAGTCTAGGAAACATTGAGTCTCTTACAGAGGTTATTTGGGCTGTAGATGTTTTTCTTTGAACGGGGTTCAAATAGCGTCTCCTAGAGCGTTAGCAGAGAAGAGTATTACAGTATTTAGTATAAGCTTCCAGATTTCATTATTGTTGAGATTGCAATAGAAACACACTTTCATGTAGTAGTCGCAGCAGCTTTAAAGTATATGACTTTTTAGTTAAGATGCCTTTCGAGTTTGTTTCATGGGTTGATAGGAAATTAAAGGGTAGATACAGATAAGTTACGAAAAAAAAAAGTATGTACACTATCCTCAAAGACCAGCAATAAATAAAAGAAATTGATGAAATAGTAAAGTTGACTGCGATATCTTAAAATCATTAATAAGATAGATAAATTAATTTTGAAAATATTAAATAATAAAAACAAATAATAAAATAGCAAAGAAAACCAAAATCATCAATAAGATAGATAAATTAATTTTGTAAATATTAAATAATAAAAATAAAATCATAATAGCAAAGAAAACCTACCACGGCCACATACACATAATATTTTTGGACATATGAACTTTTCCCAGATAAATAGTCAAATATTTCACGATACCTTAAAACAGAAGAATGCGGAAATATGTATGAAGTTAACACACGGTAGATGGCTTAGTAAATTAATAATGTATATGGTTTCTAATATCCTACTTTATTAATGAAAATTTTAACCATGTTTTTGTTTTTGCAGATATTATTGGTGGTGCCTGCCAGCTTCCAGTTCCGAAAAAAGAAATCCAACACTTTTCGTCTTTATTTACCCTGACCTTTGTGCGCAATAGTAAAAAGTACAGTTTGTACCGGCGAGGGTAACATTCGCAGAACTATATGTTTTTAAAATAAATGTTTTGGTCAATATTCACTAGAAAATCTTACTCCAAGAGGGGACACTAGTTTACATTCGAACCGCTAGAGGGTGCAGATGGTCACGCGAACAATATGATTAAGTCTCATTGACGCCATTGCTTTTCTTATGGGTGGGAAAATATCTGGGCTCTGATTGGCTTCGCCGCCATCGCAAACTAGAGGAGGGGGATTGATTAAACCCCACATTTCTGGTTGCTTATCCAATGGGGGCCAGTTTCAAGGGATTATGGGTAAAGGGGGAGGAGCTAGAGGGCCGTGGGGAAGGAGGACACGCCCACAAAAAGGGAGAAGAGTGGGGATGGACTATAGTGTACCTTTATACTACTTACGTATTACCGAAAATAACCAATGAACCACCAAAATTATGCACGGTATATGTCTGTTTACGTTGATAAATTAATGAATATTGAAGCTACACATCCTGGATTGTTAGATGATTGTAAACAGAGTTTCTTGGGTGTCAGAAGAACATCGAAATCTTTTTCAAGAATTCCTGTAGATTTGACCCTTGAACAAACGATAAATGCGGACGCCGCTGATATGAGGTCAGAAGATGATATTACCAAAGACTTAAAGAAGCCGGAAATGAAAAAATCAGCAAAAGACTGGGAAGTATTAATACAATTAATAATGAAGTCGACTAACCCCTTTCCATCAGATTTATCACCTGTACAATATTTCGAAAGGACAATCGGTTAGTGACGAAATATACAATTTTTTATCATCCGTTGAATCTGAAGGCCAAAAACAACGTATAAAGTTTATTACTGAAACCCGTGAAACACCTGACCGATTTGATAAAGCCATCAACAGAAATAAAATAATTAACTTTGATTATAAAAATACCAAAAAAGTAAAAATTGATGGCAAAATTAAAGAAATCAAGATTCAGCGAGACGTTTTCGTATGCATCAATAAAAAGTGACATTGACATTGAAAATGTATTAAGTTATCCTCTGGCTCCCATTCCATTTTCGCTGTGCCATTTGAACCATCAAATTTACCACCGACTAAAGAGGAACTGTTGCAACAAGTTAAAAGAACTCAGTATATTTGCAGCGTGTGGTGTAATTCACACATGCAAAATCCTACTGACAGGCAGCCTGAAGATTACAGATGGACAATTATTAATGGCAAATACGAATACTATCGGTTCAACGGTCCGCAAAGTCCATCTTTTGTTGAAATTTCTGCTACACATCCAGGTAAACAATAAATAAAAAATTTCCCCGTTAATTATTCTGCAATTAACTAATTTCTTAATTCTTTGATTACAGAATTCGACTATATGAGTGACGTAATGGATACCGACGAAAGTGACGAAGATGACGAGGATGATGTTAGCATCGGAGAGGACGATGAATTATCCAGTGAAACTGATGACGACGACTTGTCATGAAATATATTTTAATTAATAAATAAAAGTTATTTTATCAATTTTGTTTTTCATTGTATTCTGTAAATATTTCACGTTAACAACAAAACTAATCTAAGCCATTGAAGAAAATAAAAATTATTAATTTTATTTACCGTTCCCACTTACTTATTACTTGTATTATAATGAATGGGTGTACCGCATTAATTGAACTGAGGTGGCTTTTGCTTGATGAAAATCCATTTATCAACATAAATAAGAACTAAAAGTTCAGATTTTCACGAAATTATATATTATGACATGACAATTGTTTCGACTACTATATATACCGAAAAATGACCATAAAACCTTAATTAATGTTGTTGCGAGAATTTAAGTTCAATAAAGGAGAGGTATTTAAATCTTACTGATAGTTAAGCAATACATTTGAATGTCTCATTTTGTTAATCTCCATGGCTTCCAATAAATTTAATTTTCTAGTTTTTGTGGCTGTGTGTAATATATCAAAATTGTTGTCAAAAATGTGTTTTTTTCTGTGTTTAAGTGTGTAGCATAATTAGAATCTAGACTATTGTTTTTAAACGCTCTTATATGTTCGTTAATGTGTTTCTTGAAGGATCTACCTGTTTGTCCAACATAAATTTTAGGACAAGATCCACATTTCAACCTGTAGACACCTGATTTTTGGGATTTTGGACATTTCGATTTATTGTTTTTTAAATATTTTCCTATTGTGTTGTTAGTTCTAAAAGTTATTTTTAAACCACATTTTGGCAAATGTTTTGAAACTTTTTCGCTAGGTTCTCCTATGTATGTAATTGTCTTAAATTGTTCGTGTTCTGTATTTGGTTTCGAATAAATAGAGTTTACTGTTGTCTGTATTTGTTTTTTATTTATAATTTTATCTATAATGGACGGATTGTAGCCGTTGTTCAGTGCTATTTGTTTAATGATATTAAGTTCTTTGTTGTAATTTTCTGTTGAGAGTGGCGTATTAAGAAGTCTGCATATAAAAGAGTTAAATGCAGCCATTTTGTGTGTATAAGGGTGATTTGAGCTGTTATGTATGACTGTGTCCGTGTGTGAAGGTTTATGATATATTGAAAAATCTAATTTGTAATAGTTAAGTCTAAAAAATTAATAGAGTTATCCTGTTCAATCTCGATAGTGAATTTTATACGATTATGTATTGAGTTAATTAAATTAAATTAATTTAAAAAAGAATTCAATTGTCTCTCCGTCCCAACAAAGCAAGCAAAGACATTGTCCACATATCTATACCACCATAAAAAACTTTTACTTAAAGGATGTCCTAGTATGATATTTTCCGAAGTATCCATAAAAATCTCGGCTAACAAAGGACTAAGTGGGTTTCCCATAATCAAACCTTCTTTAGAGATAAAAATCTGTCCATTAAATTCAAAATAATTTTGGTCTAAAAATACTAATAAATCTTGTTTCACCAATGGGTTAACCTGTTTCCGAGTTAGGGTAAAATCTACTAAATCTATCACATCCACAGGTGGAATACTGGGAAATAAGTTTTGTACATCAAAAGACAATAGAGTTGCGTTGCGATCAAACACTGTCATGATACTGATATGAGTTAAAAACAAGTAAAAAAAATCCGGCGTGACAAAAAATATGAAAAAAAATAAATTTGATTTATTACATTATAAATAATCATGAAACAACTTAATTAAACTCATTTGTAAAAAACAGCATTATGGATAATGGCTGTAGGAATATTTTAAGAACAAAAAAAAAGTTAAACGCTCAACTAAATTTATAGGTTAGACCGTAATTCAGAGGTTAAGCAGGAATAATGTTCAAGAGTCGAACTTGCAACCTATTTTTTGTCGGACTAGCGAAATCTACCTATTTTTATGTAGGACATTAATTGATTTAGATAGAAAATGTCATAAAGTTTCATTTAATTTTGGTGTCCTACAGTTGCTGATGAATTACTTATTATCGTGAGGTCAACAACTTTAAAGTGTAGGACTGAAACATCCTACCAGTTTATTTGTAGGACAATGTGATCATTTGTTTATAAAAATTATTAGCAAGCTACAGTAAAAAATTTAGCATGTTGCTCATCACTTTTTATAAATAAAT